TTAGCTTTTTACTTCTTTGCAGATTTATGCCCTGTGTCTTCTATGCCCAGCACTTGTCTCGAGGTATCTTTACCACCTGGAGGAATTATGATGCTCGGTAAATTCAATATGAGGCACGAATTCTATTTAAGGGTTGTAATTAGGAAGGAAGAAGAAAAGCTATAGAGGTAGCATATGGAAGAAAATATGGGAGGATTGATTATTTCTTTGACATATCTTCTTGTAGAGTACCTTAAGCATGTATAGGTTTTAAAATACTAACTAACTTGCGTACACATATTAACATAATAGGAATATGGTGACATAAACTAAGTAAATCTATAATTACCAGCCATCTCCAGTGAAGTCAAGAAACCCAGTTAGGCACCCTAGGCATTTGTGAAAATTTGTCTATGATATGATGGATATTGTCCAACTGTACTTAAACAGTCTGAGAGAAATCAGACAAATTAAAGCAACCCATAGAAATGGGAACTTTTATAAAGTGAAAGAGCAGAGAGAAAACATGAAATCAAGCAAAGGGAGAACAGAAAGAAGGGGCAGTCTGAGAGGATGGGGCAGGAGGAAGAGGAGGGAGCAGGAGAGGCTGAATCCAGGGCATCTTATTTCCTTTCAAATAAAAGAGCTCAGATATTCGTGGCTGGTAACAATAAACGGTTAAGTACCAAGCTAGGCTTGCCACATCAGAGGCAAAAGCTTCAGGGAGAAATAAGTTGGGTTAAATAAACCCAAGAAGCTGACGTGGGTAGAATTTCTTCTGCCTGACCCACTAACAACTGTGAACGGGCCATTTTAGAAATAGTTTTTTATTGAAATGCTTCAGTGGGGCATAGCCCCTGGAAGCAAGAACTTGGCTCTGAGGCCAGGCCTGGGGAGTGCTGCAGGGATGTGGCCGGTGGCTGCCGGGGGAGTAAGGCGGGGGCTGCCTGAGTCAGGCAGGAGGTGACAGTGGCCGCTGAGTGGGGCAGTTCTGATTGCTGGGTTTGCTCTCTCCTCTTGCCTGCAGTAATTAAAGCTTTCCCAATATGGTTCTGGCTTCCTGAAGGGAAACTAGAATTTAAAAAAGAAAAAACAGCAGAGACACTTGGTTGCAATATATATGTATTTTAAATCATAACACACTTAATCACATCTGGAAGTCACTGGTACTGGTCAGTTTTAAAGTACCTAATCTTCTGCTAGCCCTGGTAGGAGGGGCTCTTCTAACAAAACAAAAACAACAGAAAATAAGAAACCTAACTGTTCTCACCAAATTAGATCTGATCATGTAATTCTTCACTGACCCAATCATCCTCCTTACACCCCTTCCCATCACATTTCCCTACCTTACTCCCTCTTCATCCCACCCCCTGTTTCTCTCCCCTCACAGACCACATAGAATCTGTGGACCAGAATAAATTGGCGTTTCATTTTCCCTCAAAGGATGTAAACTTCCACTCCCCAAATGGCTCTGACAGCTTTCTCATTTGCTAGCTGAGGAGGCTATGAGGAGACACTGACCTTCTGGTTTCGCCTGAAGAGGGAACACTCAGTAACTGTCATGCCTCAGTCCCTGACTGACTCTCCCTGGGCCCTTCCTCCCCAACCCCATATCCTCGCCTACCTTTTCACCTTCCCTCACAACCGAATATTCTACTCACCCCCACAGTGCTCTGCAACTCCCTGCAGCCCGCCCTTGCCTGGTATAGAGAGGCCTGGGGCACATCTGCCTTCAGCCCACACCATCCTGGCAAGAGAAAGCATAGGGCCTCTAGAAGTATTTGCCCCCTATTTAATCAGATTAGTCCCATCACCTACCCTGAGAAGTCAGATTTTGGTGTCACTGAGCTATCTGTGGAAGGAGGAGAAATTGTCAGACATCACTTAAAGAGCCCTGTCCCTTGGATGCCTGGGAACTGCCGAGATAAATTAATCTTCCAGCTATTTAAGGCAATTTCTTTTCCATCATCCTTTGTCAGGAGGACTGCACTGGGAAATGAATCCGATGGGAGTTCCTGAACTGGTACACTCCACTCAACAGCCTCTCTCCAGTGCTGTGTGGCATCCATCATCCCTCTAAGCGGGGACACGCAACATCTCTGCAAAGCCAACTCCCCACAAGTGCCCAGCAGCAAGAGACCCTGTGCAGAGTGCACATCACCAGGCCTAGAGACTTGCACTTTCCTCTCCCTCTGTTCTACTTCCTTTCCAGAAAATCTACCACAAATTGAGCTCTCCCATTAAGCGAGTCTATTATGTAAGATCCAAGAAGGCAGAGAAATGAGGTTATGCCAGAGCAGAACATGGGACTATTGGTCATACATTTTCTTGCCTGAACATAAGGACTCAAGTCAGTGCAGACAACCCTAAAGAGCTAGACCATGGCCACAGCCAGGCAGGAGGCAGAAACTGGGCAAAGGGAGCATTGCTTCAAGACCATCTCTCCTCCCCAGACTCATTTTCTTCCATGGGCTAAGAGCCTAGAGAGTCTTATGCTCTCTGGGGTCATGTAAAAGAATTCCAACCTTTGATTCTCTTTACACCCTCAAGGTTATTTCCCAGAGCAGTTTTTTTCAAATGCTGTTCCTCAGGGTCCCAAGAAGTGCTGGGGAGTATGTGTATGTGTGGGGCAGGAGCTACTGTAGGAAGTGGTTCCAGGAGGAAGAAGCTCAGTGGTTAAGGACCCTCTACTCAATTCCAACCTCATTTCTTTCAGGGCCTGGGATTTCTCCCAAGTCTATTTTTTTAAAAAGGTTTTCATTTTTAAGAAGATCTGCAGACCAGTGTCCTAAGAGGCAGATGACTGTACCTGTGCCTCTCACACACCTGACAGCTGACTGAGGGCTCCTGCCTGCTTGACTGCAGAGTAGGTCTGGGTCCATGCTCCCTGCTCCGACTCCAGGGGCTCCTGAGGCACTTTTCAGCAAAATGAATCTCCTTAGCCACAAGAGTCATTTGTTTTTCCAAACTCCCTTCTCCAGTCTCACTAATTCCCAATTTCCCTGCATTTGACAAATGCAATTAACAAGCCTTGATCAATTCATGGCCAACAGTCCTCATCAATCAATACAACTCTATAGGCTGGGGGAAGGGAAGGTGCCCGCAGAATGGGGGAAGAGGCCTCAGTCCCTCTACTATGAACAACCCCTCCCAACCCCCGAGCCTCTAAAACATGACACTGGTTCACCATCTGCACCAACCATGCCCTTCTTGCTAAGCAAACACAAAGCATTATTTATGTGACTTTCTCCCCCAGTTTTTAAAGGTTTCTCCATTTACCTCCTCTCTCCCCTATGTTTGTCTTCTCTTTAACAGAAGGCCTTGCCATCTGCTACCACCATGGCTTGGGCACCCCTTCAGTGCTGGCTGTGATCTATCAGCCAACTCTGCTCTCAGCTGGGCCTCTTCCCCACCCACGCACTCCAGTGACAATTTTGTGCAGCTTCCTGCCCAGGAGGCTAGAAGCCCCCCAAACACACACATGCTAGAGGACCAAAAGGACAAGGATCACCAAACTCGTGGTTACTGCTGTCAACACTCACACTCAGAAGTGAATTAGAGGTCCAAGCCTTTCCTTACCAACAGGGTTAAGAGTCAAGATTTACCCCCTTCACCTTTCTTTTCTGCATGCAGCAACAGCTCCCCTCCCCCACCACAGGGGGAGAGCTTTCTCCTCTGCAGCTCTGCCTCATACAGCCCTGAGCATCTTTCCACCTCATCAACTTTCATCTCTTTGCAAACGGAATTGGAAAGTCTCTCCCTCCTCTCTGTGTCTCTCCTTCTCCTTTCTTATGAGCTTCATGAGTGGGGTTGCTAATGTATTCACTAGACAATGTCTTCACACCAGTGTTTCCTGCAATTACAGCCACTGCCCTCCCACTATCCTGGCTTATCTGACTATAAAGTCCTTGGAGGAGGGACAATGTGGACAAAAGACACAACACAGGCTGAGGTTGAGTAGTGTCATGTTAACATCCCAGAAAGTCAAACAAATAACCACCTCTGCAGCAGCTCGCGGACAGCTGGCAACACACAGGGTTCAGTGTGCCAGAGCTTAAGAAAATTATCAATACAATCGGGGCCCCTCCACTATAGGAGAGAGGGCTCTCTATTCCTATAGTAAAAGAGTTACCCCAAGCAATGCAAGCAGCCACATCCACCCGCCTTCAGTGAGTAGATTCACTATACTTGTCATGTAGATCAGCTACATTGTCACTGGAGACTCGGATCCAGCCATCCTCCCGGACGTGGTAGAGGTTGACGGCACCTCCAGAGTAGGCATCTCTATAGGTGGCTTGGTAGATGGCTCGACGGGCCAGATCATAGGCCTGTTCCACCTCCAGGTCATAGGAGTAACCCCGATCCATGACTCCGTAAGCATACACAGAGCCAGAACCTACAGAGAAGGTGGCCCCCGAGATCCGGTTTCCTTCACTGTCCACATAGTAGAGGCCTGGAAAGGGAGATGACGTTAGCAGGAAAAAAATGACAACTCCTTCTGACTTCTAATTTATCCTCTCCAAGGCAATAGTTCTCCAACCCTCTTGAATCCCAGGGCTTCAGAAACATTAAGACTCCAGGATTCTGACAGACAACAGATCTCACCTCACAGAGCAGCTGCCTTGTCTGTCCTCTGTAGAACCAGAAGGCAAGCATAATTCAAGTAGCTTAGGTTGCAGGCACAGAACTTAAGGCACTGTGGGAGATAATGTTTAAAACCATCCTAGTCCTCGAGTTTATAAACTATGGGGGTTGAGACATCCATCACACAGGAGGAGAACATGGTAGCCACTAGCAACATGTGACTATTCAGCATTTGAAATGACACCAGTACCACACGCTAAAATGGTATTTTGGATATATTCGGTTAAACAAAATGTATTATTAAATTTAATTTCCTTTATTTTTAATTTTTAAATTGTGGCTACTATAAAATTTAAAATTACACGTATGGCTCCCATTTTGTCTTTCTTGGACAGTAGTGCCAGCAGAGACCAGGGGTTGGCCAGGCCAATAGCCCATTTGTGTAAATTAAATAGTTTTACTGGAACACAGCTACACCCATTCATGTACACATTGTCTAAATGTGTATATGTTGTGCTAAAACAGGAGAGTTAAGTCATTGAAAAAAAGACCACGTGACCTGCAGGCCTAAAACAGTTACTGTTTGGCCCCTTATGAAAAAGTCAGCTGACTCTGGCATAGATGAAAAACTAGACAAAGATTTTAATAGTTTTATCAACTCCAACTGCCCAGGACGCCTTTGCCACCAAGTTGAGATCAAACTTCCTGGCCTCAAATACTTTCAGTGGTTCTCCATCATCTACCATCTCATCTCTCTCGTGCCCTACCAACCCACACTTCCTCCTGTATCTCAACTTCTGCCAGTGGCACCACCAATGGTTTTCCTATTCTGACAGACCACAGGAGGAGAACATGGTAGTGGTTCTCAACTCTTCAGTATGCATCAGAAGCTTTTTAAGGAAAAGGAAACTTTTTAAAAAGATGCCTAATACTCCAAATATTCTTTTCAATCGGTCTAGTGTGGGGACAAGCACGGGGTTTGTGTTTTAAGTTCTTTGGATGATTCTAAGGTAATCCAGGTTGATAACCAATGCCCTTGTGAGTTCTCAGGTTCAGATAATTTTAATGTCTACCCCAGTCTAAGCCCGCTCAGTCCCCCTACCACTACCTTGCCTAGGTAAGGCTCACTACCTGGTGGCAGCCCTCCTTTCTGGCTTTATGGATCTCTCCTCCTCCTCACACACCTTAGCTCAAACAGGACTTCCAGTTACTCCCCCAGAAACCTCATGCTTCTTTCTACCCTTCCTTTGTTCGCCGTTTCTTCTCTTCTTTACATCTTGGTCAACTGCCACTTATCCAAGAAATCTTCCCCAATTCCTATCAGAAGTAACCCCCTCCTCCTTAAACCTCCTTCAGCAGTTTTTGGTTCTTTCACAAATGGTATTCATCTCACTCAGCTTTGTATTAAGTAATCTGAGACCCTTTCTCAATCTACTTCCTGCCTCATCCCAAACGGCACAGGATGTCAAGAAGGCATCCTGAGAAGGTAGACTTTAGGTTACGCTTAGCTTCCTGGGTTTTCCTTGCTAGCCACATTCTATACTCTCTTACACTGCTTCCATCACCTGGTTCAAATCAACACTTCCAAAATGCATCTCTGGACTACACAAGATGGATGGAACTGTTCTTTCACACCTTTCAAAGAGAAGTGTGTCAAGTGAGAAGATAACAAACAGATCCTGCCTCACATCCATTTTTTATCTCCTTCATACTCCAGGCGGTAGGAACTGACATTCTCCAAAGTAAGCAAAAAAGTAGAGGGTATTCTACAGTTGTCCAAGAGAGGAAAACTAGGCACTTAGTAAGCAGGCAAATGGATGAAGTAAAAACAATAGGAGTAAAAAGTAACCATATCCAAGCTTGGAGGGGAAAAACCACATAGAAAGTTGACACACTGTATTTCAGTTTTACTAAAGGGTCAAAATATGACCATTCAAAATTGGCTGAAGAGGAACTGACATCAGATACAGGGTTTTTATATCCTGGCAAAGTTTTTATATAGTCAAAGGATAACAGGCTACAGAATTTATTTTTAGAGATAGAAGAGAACCAAGGCTGATTATATCAAGCAAAGAAAGTAGATGAGTCCCCAAGGCCCCTTCTAGGCCAAAGATACCCTAAAGGACAAAAGAGAAGAGAAATGACTCACTTTTTAGTGGCTACTTACTGAGTTTTGCTGTTCAATACAGCAGCTACTAGCCCTCTGGATGGGGCTAATGCCACATGCCAACATGACAATAGTTTAGGTATTCTGGAGTAAATAAATTATTAAAATTCATTTCACCTGTTTTTTACTTTTTAAATATATCCATAAGAAATATTAAATTACACGTGACTCACGATATACTTCTATTAGATAGCACTGATGAGTTTTCTGTGTTATCCAATTTAAATCTTAAATACACTTTTTGGGGTCTTATCATTGTACCAGAGAGAGAATAAAATGAAAAATATTATGTGCCAGACACTACATGCCTTATGTACATTACCTCATTTAACCAATGCAAGAGATGATGAAACAGAATGATGAAACAGAAGTGTAAGGTCACATGGGGGGTAGTCAATGACACAGCTGGCCTAACTAAGTCCTTTCCTACACCACAGTGCCTTCCTTGAACAGAAAAGGAAGAAGGGCTGTGAACCTAATCAACACATCCCTAGTCCTGACACAAAGCCCTTTCATTCATCTGTTCACCCAACCCCTCCTCTCTGTAGTGTCAGCCCAAGAGTGATGTGGTTGCAGCTTAACTCACCAGGGCCTCTCTTATCCCAGCCACAGATCATGGTGCCCATGGACAGCCCCATGCCTTTATACTGATACACCATGTTGGCAAGTAGCTTGGAGGCAGCTGCCACGGAGATACGTTCCTTGTTTCGAAGCTCATAGATTCGACATTGCCGAGCCAATAGTCGCTCCCAGAAGCTGCAATCTGCTGCGCCCCCAGCCATTGTGCCCAGCAGGTAGGGGTTGATCTCTATCACCTTCTTTACTGTCTGGGAGGCAATGTAGGCACCCGCTGTGGCCCGGGAGTCTGCTGCAACAATAACTCCATGTTGAAACTGTTAAGATCAGAGGAAAACACAAACAGGCCTCATCAGACCACAGAAGCATCTCCTCGACATTTTTGCATTAATGCAAATCCAGAACATCTCTCTCTGTGTCGTTTTATACTTCAGTATACCAAGTATACTACGATATACTTTCCCACATCCTAATGTCACAAGCTTCACTTCAATTCCTGGACATGACTATACCCAGTATTACCTTCATTTTAGAGACGAAGAAACAGGTTCTATGCGATCGAATTATTTGACCAAGATTGTTGAGCTAGTTATTGCAGCTGGATCAGGAATTCCAATTGTCTAGCTCCTAGAATAGGGCTCCGTCCCACCAAACTTCCCTGAAGCCACAGAGTTTCGGTTAGCCTCGCCTAGTGGAGCCACTCGGGTTCCAAAATCTTTGGTGAATCGTTACAATATCCTTCCCTCTGCTAACATTCATTGCTGCTGCGGCCTCCCCTTTCCTGGATAGGATCAACTTGGGGTTGCGTAGCAATCAACCTAAGCAGCCTCGGGTTCCTTCTCCCACTTACTCCCAGACCCATTGCCTCCGTCTCCTGCCAGAACGAGAACAGAGGCATCCCGGGGCAATGAGACAGCGAAAACGTCGGGGTAGGTCGGGGGGTCCGAGCCTCCGCCCAGGCTCCGTGGCCCAGGCCACCGCGGGCTCAGGTCCAACGGAGGCGCGGGGAAGGGCGCGGAGGCCCGGGACTCAGCCCGGCGCGCCTGCTGGTCCGCACCTTGAAGGCCAGGGTAGTGGTTCCATGAAGCATTTCGATTCTCGGCTCTTCTGGAACATCGCAGCTGGGCGCCGCCAGGCTCAGCCCATCACTAGGACTCCCTAGACCCAAGTCCAGTAGATCCGCACGACCCCCGAGTCCGAAAAACCCGCGCCGGTTCACTGGTAGCGGCCTCTCCAACACACTGGCCAGCGCCATGTCTACTAAGGGCTAACGGCACCACCTGCAAGAACGCGCAGCAGAAACCCGGCAACGCTTGGCCGCCGCCGCTTCACTTCCCGTTAAATGTAGTCCAGGGAGGAGCCATTTTAACTCCTGGCAACCACGCCTCCAAAAAAAAAAAAAAAAGAGCCGGACGCAAAGACCACTTTAACAGAGGCGAGGCGAGGCGGCACTGGGTGGGTGGGGTTGGCAAAAATGGCTTCACTATCTTTAAATTCTAAAGAGATGTGGCTGCCATCTCGACTGTTCATGAAAGCAGTACTGGATTAGATTACCCTGAAACTCATGGGAAGCGATCCGAAACGTCCATGTTGACTGAGGGAAGTGAGGCTGGCCATCTTTGGGAAGGGCGTGACTGTTTGAAAATCGGTGCTGAGCCCTTTGCAGTTAGTTGTCCCAACCCAGTCCGGTGGGCGGGTGTCCAAGCAGCACTTTACATCTCTATTGCGTCAGCACCCTATTAACACGACTGAAGTTGCTATTTTGTTTAAGGGCACCCACCAATACTGGGTAAAATAACCATCTGCTCAAAGGCCATCTTCCAGTGAAGTTAGTTAAGCCACGGTAGTTTGTGGTAGGAAGCGCAACAGTATCAAAGTGCTATGTCTCTTGTCGGATAACATTAATTGCCACACTACCCACGTTCTCCAACATAACCTATGTTTAATTTAACATCTGCTATTTTCTTTACCCCCGACCTCTGGTGGGATTCTAATAAGGAATTGCCCGAAAGGCGGAAGAATAAAGAAGTAGAAAAGTGCTTGTTAATCCACAACTAGATTCTCAGGTCAGCTCCTGAATAACCGAGCCAATGGTTATGTACCATTCAGAGCCTGGAGGAGAGTAAAGGCGCCATAAAGATATACCAAGAGGTTCTCTAACTTACACTTGCTAAGACAAGTTCTTTACTGATAAAGGAATGTGCTGTATTTCCTGGTCTTCCTCCCTCCACCCACTTTCATTTTTCAACCCTTTGGGAACCATTACAGGCAAGGAAGTGGGCAAGTATATGAAATGTTGCCTCCTGCTTTATGGTTTTATAAAGTCCGTGCCTTCCTTGTCGGATTCCAGCAGCAACATCTGTCAATATCTACATTCCACTTTCCTCTGATGCCCGACTCATCCCCTCCTCTTCCTCAGCAGACTCTGCATGTGTTGTATTTTTAATGTTGAAATATGGCAATCCTTTTCTAAACCCAACAATCAGAATGTAATGAAGCAGAAGGTCTTTATCTGTGTCTCACACTTGGATGGCGTGGAAAATGCAAAGTGCCTCTGTTTGTTGAGCAGGTATTATTTTGCAGTCACCCCTGCAATACAACTAGTCCTCCTACCGACTTCTTTCAGTGGTTCTTCCACTCTGACACTAATGGCATTTGTACCTCTCTTAAGGCAGTTTCACATTTTACCTGGGTAAGGGTACATTTGTTCCTTACTGCATTGTGATCTTTCAGAGACACTTCTCTTTTCATCTCTGTGCCCACTTGTGTGCTTAATACATGTTTGCCAAAGGAATACATGAAAGAATGACAGCAGTGTGCTTTCAGACACAGAGGCTTGCAGCCCTGGCTCATCGGTGACAACTCCACTTCTTTTCCTGCACATCCAGGAAGTTGCCAAGACCTGTTGATCTTTCTCTATGATGCTTCTCACATTCTTTCTCATTGCAAAGGATACCACCCTTGGGCTTTTTATCTCTTCACTTCTGAATTACTGAAATATTCTCCTAACTGATTATCTGGGCCCAAACTGTGCTAATTCATTTTGAAAAGAAGCAGATTGATTTTCCTAAAAGACCATCTCAATCTTCTCCCTCACCTGCTTCAAAAGGATCTGTAAAGTTCAGCCCCTAATCATGGGATTCAAGGCCTTCCATAATATGCTCCCAACTTAACATTATTTCTCTGCTCCAAAGTCCCTACTCATGGAGACCTCAAAAAGGAAAAGTACAAATGGTTAAGTGCTGCTGTCAGTGAGAATGTGAATTGATGCAGCCACAATGGAAAACAGTGTGGAAGTGCCTCAAAAAAATTAAAAATAGAACTTTATGTGTCCAACAATTCCACTTTGTGGGTATTTCTCCAAAAGGACGAAATTATATATACAGATATATTATTCGGCCATAAAAAAGAAGAAAATCCTGCCATTTGTAACAACATGGATGAACCTTGAGGGTATTATGCTAAGTGAGAAAAGTCAGAAAAAAAATAATAAATACTGTATGATCTCACTTATATATGGAATCTAACAAAACTGAACTCTTAGACACAGAGAGTAGATTAGTGGTTAATGGGGGCTGGGGGGTGGAGAAAATGGGGAAACAGTGGTCAAAGGGTATATATTTCCAGCTACAAGAGGAATAAGTTCTGGGAATCTAATAAACAGCAAGGTGACTATAGTTAAAGATACTGTATTGTACATTTAAAGTTGCTTTGAGTAGATTTTAGATGTTCTCACCATACCAGCAACAATGAAAATAGAAGGATGTGTTAACTAACCTTATTATGGTAAATACTTTGAGATACATACATGTATCAAGTCACTATTTGTACACTTAAAACTTATGCAATGTTGTATGTCATTTTTATCTTAGTAAAATCAAGGATTGGGGGGAGGAAAAACATAAGTGCTGTAGTTCAGAGGTGGGAGAGGAGGTCAGTATCCACTGGGGTGAAGTTGGGGAACCAAAAGGCTTTGCCGAGAAGGTCTGGATTCATTTCCCTAAACACTACCATTTGGGTCCCACTGCTCCTCAAAGCCACAACAGCCTCTGCTCTCCCAACCTGTAGCTGGGAAGAATTTTTCAAAACAGGTGTTACTCAAGCCAGACTTTGAAGGGTAGGATTCAAATAGATAAAAGAGAGGTGAGAAATGTGTTAGGAACACAGTGAAAAGAGGTTGTGGTGGATGGATTAGGATTGGACCATAACGGATGGGCCTTAAGTGCCAGCCTGGTATGGAGAAGGTGGTTTAGCTTTGATATTGTAGCCCTTCAAGATTTTCTGGTAGAGGAGGCACAGGGTTTGAGCCATAACTTAGAAAAACATGTCCTTGAGCAGGATGAGAGAGGAGATTAGATGGGGAGACTAGGGGTTAGCCAGTCAGGAGGCCATTCACCTGTCCCGATCTGTCTTGATAATGGCCTGACCGAAGGAGGTGGCAATCCATCCATATATAAAGTGTCTAAGACTTAGTCTTTAGAAAGAGGAGACATTCTTATCTCTTCAGTAAGATTCCCAGGTGGTCCTGCACAAAGGAAGGGAGGACTGCCTGGACCGTAGCATGATCTCTTGCTTTTTCCAGTCTTCCCATGACATATTGACACTTGCCCTTAGTACTGAGACTCCAGGAAGCTATGATGCCACAGCCCCACCCGCCATCATGATGGCTGGAGGGGTCAGGCTCTTTCCTTTGTGTGTGGGTCTGTTTCTTTGAATGAACCCATCCCTACAGCACCCCTTTGAGCTGCAGAGTTTAATAAAATACACTGCATATGGTATAGTTGCAGTCAGCCACTCTGCCCCACTCTACGTCTACTTTCTCTAAAGGACCAGATGTCAGGGTTTACCAACCCCATCCCTTGGCCACCCTTGGCCACCCTTGGTTGGTCTAAGGCTTAACCTTGGCATTATGGGGTCATGGTCAGCTGTTTCTCCCGTCTTGGGCCTACAAACTAGCTCTCTTGCCATTGTGAACTATTAGAGAAGCTGTACTGCCAAAGGGCTGTCAAGAACCCCATCTTCATATGCAGATGGAGGCTCCTATTCACCCTCAAAGTAGAGGAGAAAGAGAGCTCCAGGTTCTAGCTTTCCTTCACCCTAGCCCTTCAGGAGCTGAGGACCCCCCCACCACAACCCATCCCACACAAGGCTCTCTTGCTCTTCTCTCTTTTTCCTTCTCTCAATCCATTTCTCTTTACCCACCTTGACCGTGAGGTGAAAATGTGAGCTGAACATCATAGTTCCCTGGCCCTAGAGCCCTGAGGACAGAACCCACATCAAGGACCCCTGACTCAGTGGGCCCACAGCACTGTCTTCTGGCTGCGTCAGAGCACTAACTTGTCTTTACAGTCTTTCAGAGGAGGGACAGAGCCTGTCTTTGCTGTCTGCTGCCCCAGAAACACCAGAGTGACCCAGGTCTGCTCCTTCCACTGGTGCCTCCTTTCCTTGGCAGTTAGCCCAGCCTCACCCCATCCAGGTGTTTGGAGGATGAGAGACAGGAGACTCCTTGGGTGACACTCAGGTGTGTCATGGGCAGCGTCTTCCCAGCGGTGGAGACGCCTCTGCCCAGTCCTGTCTGCCCGCAGTGGTCCTCTGAGGAGGAGGGGGCTGCTGCATCAGCTAATCCCAAAGCCTGATTTGGGGTTAGGGAAAATTGAAGCCACAGGTCACGTGCCTTCCTTGCTGGTTCTGGCTGCAGCCCAGCTTCTCCTTAGCGTCTCTCTTCCCCCACCTGACTCCAGCCCACAAATCCCTGCCTTGCTCTTTCCAACCTTCACTTAGTCCCAGGGATGGCTCTGCAGGATGTGTGCAAGTGGAAGGCCCCTGACCCCCAGGAACCATCCCCGCACCTGCCTCAGTTTGGTGGCTGGGCTGTGCCCCGGGGCTGTGCTCCTCAAACTTTCCTGCGGCTCCATGGCCCCAGGCTGGCCCATGGCACCACCACCCTGGCCTTCCGCTTTCGTCATGGAGTCATTGCTGCAGCTGATACACGCTCCTCCTGTGGCAACTACGTGTGCTGCCCGGCCTCATGCAAGGTCATCCCTGTGCACCAGCACCTCCTGGGCACCACCTCTGGCACCTCTGCCGACTGTGTCACATGGTACCGAGTGCTACGGCGGGAGCTGCGACTGCGGGCACTGAGGGACGGCCAGCTGCCCAGTGTGGCCAGTGCTGCCAAGCTCTTGTCAGCCATGATGGCCAGCTACCGGGGGCTGGATCTCTGTGTGGCCACTGCTTTGTGTGGTTGGGACCGCTCTGGCCCTGCCCTCTTCTATGTCTACAGCGACGGCACCCGTCTGCAGGGGAACATCTTCTCGGTGGGCTCTGGCTCTCCCTATGCCTATGGTGTGCTAGACCGTGGCTACCGCTATGACATGACCACCCAGGAAGCCTACGCCCTGGCTTGCCGTGCTGTGGCCCATGCCACCCGTCGCGATGCCTACTCAGGGGGGTCTGTAGACCTTTTCCATGTGCGGGAGGGCGGATGGGAGTACATGTCACGTAACGATGCCTGGGTGCTGTACGCGCAGCTGCAGGAGCTCCCGGAGCTGGACGAGGAGGACGAGGAGGCGGCCAGCCAGGCCCACCCTGAGCCTGTCAACTGCCACAGGGCTGGTGAAGGTGTAGAACTCTGTGGGGGCCAGCCTGGGAGAGTCCAGGATGCTTGCAGAGACTGAGACGCTGTGAGGAGTGGAGGGAGTGGGTGAAGGACGGGCCAGTAGCCCCACAGCAACTGACTCCAGCTCTTCTGAGTTCCCGGCTTCATTTGTTCCCAGTCCCATCCCTTTCTGCCTCCTGGAGCTATTGATGGCTCTGTCCAACATGTTCCTATTGATACTCTATATTGGTCCAGCTTCTTTCTCGGCACCAAGTCCTTCTCTCTGCAAACACTGCGTGCCTGCTGCATGCCAGACGCTGTGCTAGGTGCTAGACCCTCTTTTCTTGCCATTTTCTTTTCTGCTTTTTTCCATCCTATCTCTGGTCTCTTCTTTCCATTTTAGTCCTCATCTCAGCTTTGAGTCTTTGTCATTTTCTCACCTTGGTAAGGTTGCGTAGCTGGGAGCAAAATGAGGTGGGGATAGTAGCCAAAGGGGTGGGGACAGTGCAACGTGGACACTCCCTCGGTGGTGACAGGCTTCTCACATCTGCTGCTCTTCTGCCACCCCGCCATCTGTTTGACTCTAATGACCGTAAACATTGCTCCCTTACTGAATGCAGTTCTCATGATAACTCTTTGAGGTAAAAATTATCCTCAGCTTACAGGAGAGGAATCAAGTTCAAAGGGGCATGGCCACACAGAGATCCAGCCCCCGGTAGCTGGCCATCACGACTGACAAGAGCTTGGCAGCACTGGCCACGCTGGGCAGCTGGCCCTCCCTCAGTGCCCGCAGCCACAGCTCCCGCCATAGCACCCGGTACCATGTGACACAGTCAGCAGGGTACATCGCACAGTGCGGGGTGGCGACGAAGCCAGGCAGGGGTCCTCCTCCCAGGCCCTCTTCCCTGCAGGCGTCTGGGGCGAGAGTAGCTGGGTCAAGCCCCTGCCTGGTGTCCAGGGATGAAGGAGCCCAGGGGAGTTCGAGGTCCTGGGGAGGGGTGCGCCCAAGGAAGCTGCCCGCGCCCAGTCTCATGTGGCCTCCCCGCCAGGGCCTGGAGCCTGGCCACAGCCCACCCATGTGCTCTGCTTTCTGGCCTGTCACTGCTGTCGCCAGACTTCTTCCTTTCCTTTGACTTCTTTCCAGCCTCTCCTTCCTGTTGCTGCCTCTGGGGGATGGAGAAAAGAGGGTGGGGGCTGTGTGGGTGCTGGCACATCCGCTCCTGCCTGGCCTGCCCCCATGGGGCTCCTCTCTGGAAGCCTGATGTGGAAATACAGGCTGACATCTGCAGGAGGGTCACCCCCACCCCTCACTCTGCACCTCATGTTGGGGAGAAAGCATAGTTGACCAAGAGGTGGGGTCCAAAGGAAGGCTGCTGAACCTTCTCATTCATCCCACTCCCTCGGTGTCATCTGAAGATGAGTAGCCACCTTTCCTCCCTCCTGGCCACTCCTCCCCCCAGCCTCCAGCCCAGCCCCTAGCCCCAACCTTGCACCTCAGGTTAAGAATTCCTCCAGGCGGAAGCTGGCTGGAGAGAGGAGCCCTTCAGGCTCCACTTTCCTGAGAATGACTTGGAGGAGGGAGGGAAGGTCAGGGAGCCCAGGAAGGAAAACAGCACGGCAGAGGGGAGGAAATTGTGGTGGGGAAGGGGAGCCGCAGAAAGGTGCCCCATACAAGAGAGGTCTAGCCTTTGAACCAGGGTCCAGGAATCTGACTGGTGGCCTCCACAGCAACTCTTCATCCCTTGTGCACTCCTCAGCCTCGGGAGGAGTGTAGGACTCTGGGAATGATAATCGGAAGTCAGGGACCAGTGGACCAGCCTAGCTCTGCAGCACAGGAGGAAGGGCAGCTTTTGCCTGGGTCAAGTGTTTGACTGCCTCCAGCATAAGAGGGTGCATCTCCATATGCAGAGATGTGTGGGTCTGTGTCCAGGTGTGTGTGATCTGGGACAGGTATGTGCTTGTGCATGTGGCAGGTGGTGCAGGTGTGGTCCTGGGTGCAAAGACAGGGAACAGACTGGAAGGGAAATGAAATGCAGCATCTGGGTAAGGAGAGAGGCCCCTAATGGGAAGAAAGCCAGGCCTTTGTGAAAGCCACTTCTTTTTTGAGAAAAATGGTGGGAGCAGGGCTCACCACCCTGGTTCACTACTTCTGCATCTTTTTCTACCCCATCTTACAGCCCCTGGAGTGAAAAAGGCAGGGTGAGGGATGCTCAAGACTCCTTGTTTTCCCCTAACCCAGACAGAGAGGGTGGAACAGGAGAGAGCCCCCGTGCTTGTGGTCTCCTCCCATTCCTCTCCCCTACTCTTCCTTCCCTTTTCCTGGTCCTTCTCCTTCACTCCCTTTGACAAACTCTTCCTTCCAGATGATGAGGTATTTGAGACCAGAGATAAGCCAAAGGGTCTTGTTGACAAGACTGCTTCCCTACCCTGTGTACTTTCCCTCTAAGTTAATGAGTCGAGGAGGATCTCAGGAAAGGGGTAGGGAGGGCTGGGAGACAGGCAAAGGCCGGCCTTCCACCGCAGTGTATCCCTCACTGCCTGGTGGTGGCCCAGGAGCCAGCCCCTCCTTTCTCCACTTATTCCTGAAGGCTGATGCAGAATCAGGGCAGGCCCAAAGGGGCATAGATTTCACCTGTCCTGCGTGAACTGGGAGACCTTGTCCCTCTGGCACTCTGCTTGGGGTGCTGCCTTCTTATGGTTCCTTCAGGGGACAGACAGCCTGCTTTTGGCACAGGCCTGTTTAGTTCCAGGCTCCAGCAGGTCCACTGACAACTCCAGCACTGGAGTGAGGGTCCTTGTTCTCTCACCACCTGGTTGCCCTAACCAAGCAGGTGTGGAAGGTGTGACAGGCCTCTTCCCATTGGAGGCGCTTTCCCTGATTGCCAGCACCCCACACCTGGAGGGGTGGGGCACAAGGACCTGTCCTGATTCACCTACTCAGGAGCCCTGCCTGAAGTCAGAAGGTGTGTGGGCTTATTCTGGTTGCTGGGTGGGTTCCTCCTGTGCTCAAGGAGTGCACAGGGAGAGATGCTGGCCACTCTGCTCAGCTCCCTCCCCAGTTGACTTTGAGCACCTTGAGAAGCCACCTCCCTGGTGCCTCTCCCTCCTTCTCTGTGCTCCCTGAAGAGTAAGATGAGGGACTAGGGAGAATTAAGGGTGGGGGCAGGGGGCCCAGATGGGACTGTGCCATCTCACCTGGCGCACCCTTCTCCACTTGGTAGCACAGGCCCCAGGAGGGACTGACTTGCCTCCTCTGCTGCTCCTATTCACATTTTTTTCCTAGCCTGGAACCCCTCTTCCTTTCTTCTTAGTCTTTCATCTCTCCTCCTCTTTTCAGTAGCTCTCACCCACACTTCTCCTTTCCACCCTCCCTTTTGGTCAATCCCCACATCTTAACTTCCTTGGACAGTCTGAGACTGAAAGGGAACCCAGAGAGCTGGTGGTGGGAGTGGGGATACAAGTCATTATCTCCTCCTAGCTTGATAGAGAGGGACTTGAAATAGACTGTCCCACAAAGGAGAAGGAATGAGCTGGAGGGCATAAGATGGGGCCTCTTCTCCCCCTCTTTGGCCCAGTGAAGCTCTATACAGAAACCTGAGTGCCAAACAGAAACAGGGCTCCAGAGTTACAAAATAAAGTGTTTGTTTATTATGAAATTAGAGATGGAGGCCCCTCCCCTTCCTCCCTCTTTCCCCTTGGGCAGCTTCTTCCCCCTCCTCCCCCCACCCCCGGGGCCTGGGGAGCACACAAGTCAAAGCCGAGAGCAGGCTGACAGCTGGACAGAGCTCCAGGGAGGCAGCCCTGGGGGCTGGAGCTCTCACCCTGGGAGGTGGGATGGCTCCCCATCTCTGCCAGAGGCAGTGGAGCCAGGATGAGGCCATGAGTGATGGATGGAACCATGCGGGCAGGTCTGTAAAGACAGGAGAATCTGGGTTAGAGGTGGTGACTGGGGGAGAGCTTCAGGCCATCCCGTGCCCCATGTGGTCTAGGGGCACTGACCTGGGGCAGAACATCCCCTGCAGGAGGGTGGGCAGCAGTGGCTGGCAGTTTCTCTTGCTTTTGGGATGGGCAACAGAAAAAAACAAAAAGCTCATCACAGGGACCCAGAGAAAATGCAGGCAGATGGGGGCAGGAGACAGACACAGAGCATGTGTGTGGGCAAGGGAGACAGAAGGCCTCTGTGAGAAATTTAGAATCAGGGAGACAAAAACAGAGCCACGAGAAAGTGGAATCACAGTGAGAGAACAGAGATTCTGAGTCGGAGCCATATAACCCAGACCCAGACAGGGAGAGTATTAGAGACAGAGATGCCTGGAGAGACACACACAGACAACTCAGGAGAAAGAAGGTAAGGGGGAGGTTGCCCAGCATAAGTTGGCAGGAAGGATGTAGGGACAGGAGGAGGCCTGGTGGCCCCCGGGCTGCTGCCGCCTGCTTGAATCCCTGGCCAGGTCACTCAGAGGGCCTGCATCGGCTGCCCCAACGTGGCGGGCAGGGCCAGGGCCGGCTCTCAGGGGGCTGGGGGCTCCTTGGCCCCATAGAGCTCGGCCAGGGTATGGAAGAGTGGCCCCCAGTCGTCCAGTGGTTCCGCGGGGCCAGGGCCGACGCCGGCCTCGCTGCAGGAGCCCAGGGAGCTGAGGGAGCCGCAGGAGGAGCCCCGGCCCTCGTAGCCGTACACCTGCACGGAGTCGTAGGGTGGCACACTGGGGTCATCATCCGCCTCATGGAGCCGCAGTGCTAGGAGCTGGGCCACGTCGGCAGGACCAGGTGGCCTGGGCTGGCGAGATGCCCTGGCCCGGGGCAGCACATCGAGGCGTGCAGGTGGACCTGGGGCCGGCGGGGCGGCCCCGTCGGGGTTCTGCAGGGCACTTATGTCGAAAGCCTCCGTGTCCTCTTCCCCGCCTCCCTCATCATCGTAGGTGATAATGTTCTCACGGACGTCTTCCTCCTCCAGCACCATCAGTGCTTCCTGCTTTTGCCGCCGCAGGGCCACGAAAAGCACCACTAGGGCTGCGGGATAGGCACAAACAGGCCGCTGAGCCGGTCGGGCCCGGAACAGGGCGGCCTGGTTCCACTCTGAACTGCAGGCAGACGGGTGTGGTGTCAGAGGAGGCAGTGTGGCCAAGGGGTGGCAAGTCCTCAGTCTGACATCTGGCAAACCTCATTTCACTTCACTGCTTACTTGCTGTGTGCCCATGGGACGTAGCTTAACTTTTCTGAACCTCTCTGTCCCTTAGACTGCTTGCGTGGAGAAGAGGGAAACTATTTACATCTTAGGGTTGTTGGAAGGTTTAAGTGAAATACCACAAGGGGATATACCATGAGTCACATGCGGCCCAGGTTCCCGGCTTAGTAAATAGTTTTTATGGCTGTTACTGTCATCATGGCTTGGTATGTCAGGGACATGACACCAGAGCTTTTCTCTCAGATGCATCAGGTGATGAGAAAATCCAGGCATGAGGGTTCCTTCAAGCTCTAGGCCAGATTTTCCCAATTCCAGAGGTCCTGACTCCTTTCCACACTACGTGTGTGTGTAGACCCCACATCTATGTCCCACTGTGGCCTGACTCACCAAGCAGGGTGCCCACACAGGTGACGATGGCAAGCAGGGCCCCGGTGCTGAGTCCAGTGGGTGAGAGCTGAGCCTCGGGCTGGCAGGATGCCACGGAGCCGTCAGGCCGGCAGCGGCACATGCTGATAGTCACCGTGGCAGTGCTGCTCAGGGGCGGCTGCCCCCAGTCCCACAGCTCAACAGGGACCAGGTAGGGGGCCTGGCGGGCTGGAGCAGGGCGAGAAGGCAGCAGCAGGTTTGCCGAGCCATCTGTGGGAGAGGGAAAGTGTTGGGGCATCTTCTGGGACACCTTCCCATGGACACACTTCCCATTTTGCAAAGAGCAAATGTACAAATCCACATCTACTTTCTGTTGGGTGGAGGGCCCAGATGGGTGGGCAGGGATCAGGCAGGCTGGACTGTGGGGTGGAGGAGGAGAGGAGGAGACATGGGCATGGGCATGGTTGTAGGAGGCCACCCACCTCGGTTGTCCTGGACAGTGAAGTTGGCATCGGGGCCCAGAGGACCCTGAAGGGAGATGCGACTACTATTGCCGACTTCATCTCTGTCCAGGGCCCAGATGACCTGAATTAGCTGGAAGGAAGAAGAGAGGCCTTGTATGGAGTGGGTTGCTGAAGGTCTTAAGGTCCCAACCCCTCTGCTCAGCGGCTCACCTGGCCAGGGGCTGCAGAATCACACACAAAGGTATCGTAGGGCTCTGCCAGCTGGGGAGCATTGTCATTCTCATCCAAGGTCTGGATGGCCACTTGCACATGGGAGGCCTGTGCGGAGCTGTCTGAAGCCAGAACATGAACACACACACCCCATACATGCACACACAACACATATATGGTAGGTGTTGATGCCACATGCAGCACATAGCATGCACATGTAATACACGATATATACATGCAGTATGCAAGCAGCAAGGTTGTGAAATGAATGGAACACCACCAAGTGCATGCAACATTCATGCAGTACCCAAGATATGTGCAGTATATACTCAGCAGGAAGGTAGTGCCCATGATATACATATACAATAACCCACATGGACACATGCACCGTAAATGAAAGGTAGGTAGAAGATGCGCACAGAAAATAGCCATGAAATATAAACACATTCATACCATGTAAAAAAATGCAACATACATGAAATGGATATTTGACATATACAGTGAATGTAGTACCACCCCCGACCCCAGAGCCAAGAATGCATTTTCATGCACAGTACCAGTGGGAGGACCCACACGCACATGAACACACATACACACACACATGCACACGCACACACGCCCCATCAGAGGTCTAGCAGGCTGTGGTGTAGCAATGTCACTTATAGTTGACCTTGGGGAGGGAGGAGCTGCATGATGCACAGGGTACAGAGCCAGGCCAGCCTGGGCACCACAGCCAGACTCAGGCTCCCTGTTCATCTGCCCCTTCATCAGGTGGCTCGCCACCATTACCCTGCCTCGCTTCTCACTAGGGTAATGGCTAATGCCATCCCAGAGAGAATGGAAACAGGAATCCCTGCCCACCTCACTGCTCATTGCTCCTAGGCTGAGCCTCTGGAAAAGTTGGGGGAGAGCTGGCTGGCCCTTGTCAAGGGGCTGAGGTCACAGCCTGGGCAGAGGAAGCTGAGTGGACTCCGAGCTAGGGCACCTGGGAGACCCCAGAGACAGGACAGGGCTAGGCCTATTCCTTCATTGAAGTAAGGGCCCAGGACCTGCTGGTTGATAGCAGGGTTTGGTGAGGAGCAGGAGGGCAAGAAGACAGTGAGGGGAACACACACACACACACACACACACACAC